CCCCAAAACCCCAAAACCCCAAAACCCCAAAACCCCAAATATGCCATATTTAACTGAAAAAATGGAAGAAAGTGATAAAATGTTCGACATCCCTCATTCTGATAAGAAAGAGAGGACTGACTTCCTCGAGAAGTTCCTGAGCCTTTCCAGGGAGAAGAAGGCTTTACAAATTCACCAGCATCAGGTATCTCTTCGGAAGGACTCAAGGCAGCAGATTTTCAAGAACAAGCGACAGAATTTGACCCAAGATGATGAAATGAGTAAGCAGATTGAGCCTGATGAAAAGACCAGAGAAGTTTATGAAGAAGCCATTTTTAGAACTCTGCAAAATTGGGAAGTTGGTCCTGATGACTGGGAAATTATTTTAGAGTTTGCCAACAATAGGTTAGCAATCGAGCACACTGACGAAGGGAGGTTGAATGGAGTATTTCAAATTCTTGCTGACAATGTGTCTAGGAATAGCCCATATGACCTGTTGCTGAAGGTAATTCAATTTTGGAGGAACTTGTGCCAGAGCAAAAGTAATGAAGGGTTAGAGTTTGTCTTCAAGAATTCACTTCATGCTGAAATTTTCAAGATTGTATTGCAGGATGAAGATCAGATTGAAACTTTTAAACAGGGGACTATGATGTTATATTTCTGTTCTCATCATGAAGAATTCTTCAGCTTTGTAAAAGAGCAAGATTCTTTACTTGGCACTCCAGAAAATCTTCAAGAAGGAAGCCATATGATATTAGATAATGCACTTTTGAACACTAAGGTCATAAAGAAGGATGAGTTCCTCAATTTCATAATTAGCTTGACCTCAAAGAATATTTCTCTAAGCTTAAAGTTCATGCACATTTTCTGTGACAAGCACATCAAAAATGAGAAAGAGCTTCAAGAGACTATTTGCACCTTTTTACTTAAACTCAAAATTGAAGATTATCTTGAGAAGAACAAGAAGCTGCTGATCTGGGTACTACAAAGCTTTGTTGACAAAGCTGAAGATTATGAACTTCTCCAAAAAGTAGCTTTGAGTGATACCTTAAAAATCCTTGTAATTGAATATATTGTTCAGGAAGAGACTCAGCAACTATGTCTGAAGCTATGTGGTGCTCTTATTCCTTATAACTATCTTTTAATCAGGAAGGTGTTGATTTCATTTGGAGAGACCAAAACAATTTCGAAACACTCAATATCTTCCTTCTTGGAGTATATCAAAAATCTTACTGAATATTTATACATGAGTAAATTTAAGTCTAGTTATGGCCCAAGGTTATCGGGATTACTCTGAGATCCAGGGTACAACATCCTTCATTTCGCACTGAAGCAGACCTCATCAGAGAGCATCATTAGTATCTTACATATCTGTTTTAATATCTTGGAAGAAGGGAATCCCAATGTTGTTTTTGAGTTATTAAGAGCTAATTTCCTAGGCCTGATGGAAGACATTATCTTATCAAAGAATTCTCTAGTAGAAGAGACATCTCTCTGCCTTGATTGTCTTCTCAGTTTCTTCAAAATATTCCACAAAAATGAAGAAAAGATGAAGTATTTAAACTCAAAATAGATACCAAGAGGCAAAGAACTTTGAAGACGAAATGTTCTACCACAAAGGATCTCTCGGGTTGATGGAATATAGTAAGAAAGTCGAAATTCTGAAGATAAATATTTCTTCCACACTAGAAACTCTTCTGCACTCAGATGGCATTGGAATTTCTGAGAAAGCCTATGAATTGCATGTAAAATACTTTGAAGAAGACAATGAACCTTCCTTAATCGATTTGGCAATGGTTGATCAATAATTTAGTCACTAAAATACATGTTTCAACGCTGAAATTTGTCTGTGGGGTTTTGGGGTTTTGGGGTTTTGGGGTTTTGGGG